CAAAAAGATATTTACTTGTGTTTTATTGACTATGACAAGGCATAACACTGTGTGGATCATAACAAACTATGGATAGTCTTGAAAAGAATAGAAAATCCAGAACTGTGCCCATGGAAAACTTGTACATGGATCGTGAGGCAGTTGTGCAAACAGAATAAAGGAATACTGCATGATTTGAAATCAGGAAAGGCATGTGTCATGGTTGTATTCCCTCACCATACTTCTTTCATCTATATGCTGACAAAGTAATTAGAGAAAGTAGACTATATGAGGAATGTAGCATCAGGATTGGAAGAAGGTATATTAACATTTGATATGCAAACAACACAACTTTGCTTGAGTGTGGAGGACTTGACGCATTTGCTGATGAAGATCAAAGGTTAAAGCCTTCAGTATAGATCACATGACTCAATGTAAAGAAAACCAAAATCCTTACAACTAGACCAATAGGTAACATCAAGATAAGTGTCAAAGGCTGAAGTTGTCAAGGATTTTGTCTTTCTTGGCTCCACAATCAATGCTCATGAAAGTTGCAGTCAAGAGATCAAGATGAGCTGCACTGAGTAAATCTGATGATAAGAACTGATGGAATGTAGGGACGTTACTTTGAGAACTAAGGTGTCTCTGGCCCAAGTATTTTCAATGGCTTCGGATGCATGTGAAGTTGGACATTCAATAAGGAAGATCGAAGAAGAATTCATACACTTGAATTGTGGTGCTAGACAAGAATATTGAAAGTACCATGAACTTCTGAAAGGACAAAAATAATCTGTCTTGGATGTACAGCCAGGGTGCTCCTTAGAGGAATGGATAGCAAGACTTCAATCCCACATACTTCAGACATATTGTCAGGAGAGACGAGTCTCCAGAGAAGGACTTGATGGTTGGTAAAGTACAGGGGAAGCAAAAGAGAGGAAGGTCCCCAAGAGATAAATTGACACAGTGACTGCAACACTGCATAAGGAATGACTGGGAGGATGGCGCAGGACTGGGCAATATTTCTTTCTGTTGTGCATAGAGTTACTATGAGTTAGAACTGAATCAATGGCATCTAACAACAACAATATGCCCCTGAATCAACAAGCAAAGAAAGGTCTTGGTATAATGAGTGTCGTGACTGTGCCTGATTACCAAGGAGAAACTGGAATATATTGCATAATTGAGATAAAGAAGAACATATCTGAAACCCCAGAGATTCCTTAGGTCATCACTTTAGTATTACTATGTCCTGTGATTAAAATCAATGATAAACTACAGCAATCACATTCTGACATGACTACTAATGGCCCAACTCTTCAGGAATGAAGCTTCAAGTCATCCCACCAAGCAAAGAACCAAAACTAGCTGAGGTTCTTGCAGAAAGCAAAGGAATATGGAATGGGCAGCAAAAGAAGGTAGTTCAAAATACCATTTATGGCTATGTGACCAACTGTAGAAAGGATTGTAATTGTTATGAATATTTTCTCTTTGTATGTATATATGAAATATTTTTGCTTTGTTCATTTATAAAATATAAAATGTCAATGGTGTTAGGGCATTTTTTGGTTGTACACGTATTAGTTGTATCACATTAGGTGCAACTATGACTTTATTACTGTCTTTGTTTGTAGACTAAGTGTGGTCTAAGGAGATGTGTACAAGTGCCAAGTTGATAGAGGTAGACTGGCATAGTTAGGTTTTATATCTTTTATAACTTAGGTGGGCCAGGATTCTCCCATGATATGATCTCACATAGTGTGGTCAACTCCACAATGGGATCTTTTGTGAAGCAACCACGCAATTGTGGGGAGAATAGATACCCTTAATCTGGTCACAGGCTTGACAGAATTGGAGGTTTCATTCAGTGTGGCTAACTCCTAATATAAATTGACTGAGTAGAAGCTAGTGGACTTCTGCTGTTAGATTTGGACCCTGCATCTGGTTCACTGACTTCCTATTATATCACCTGCCAATCCCAGAAGACTTGAGTGGGCTGCTGACTTTCGATCCATCTGGCTGATATTGGATTCATTCAGCTCAGCATCCATCAGGCTGTGGTCTTTTTGTTTCCAGCTCATCAGCCCCTGCAGCTACAGGAGTCAGGAGAAGCCTTCAGCTTGCATATGGCGCATAGACCTGAACTGAGTGGACTTACCCACTTCTACCACAGTGTTATTCAATTTTTGATAAAAATCTCTTTATATCTACATACACATACATATATGTGTCACTGGTTTTGCTTCTCCAAAGAACCCACCCTAACACAGTTAGTTCCCCATGGTATGTGGTCTCCTTTGCTGTAGCAAATAATAAGCTTGATTTAAGTAATATTGTGCTCCCAGTGGTATTTGGCTGATGTATGCTAACAATCCTCATTTTATTCATTTAGAAAACTGAGGGCCAAAGAGTCTATAAATATTGGCAAAATCAAACTAGAATCCAAATTTCTTATCTGAATTGGTTTCTTCCATTATATGGTCAGTCAGATGAGATGTAGTTTCTCATGCAAGTGAGTCAGACAAGACATGATCTTTTGATCTTATCCTACTGCCACAGTTACCCACTTTCATCTTCTTCCTATTTGTAAATTTAAAGACAGACTTTATCAAAATCTTAAATGGTTCCAATACATGGCTTATATCAGAATTGTTTGAGTTAAGACATATAGAATCCTTGAATCTATTGTAGACATGCTAAACCAGATTCTTTGGGAAATGAAGAACAAAAATTTATAATTTACTTTGAAATTTAAATAATGAATATATATATAACACACACTTCTTGAATATTACAAAAGCAATTATCTCTCCCGGATTTGAACTTCCTATCTTTGGTTTCTTTCTCCAAAGGACACACTCTTATTAAATGGGGATATCAATACATATCACCACCCCCACCTCCACAAACCACAAACACACACATGCACACATGTGTATACATTATATATCCTTCTTAAAAATCACTGCTTCAATTTGGAGGCAAAGCCAAGGACAAGGAGTGGCTCCTCTATCACCAAGCTGGATCATCTGGTGAAGGACATGAAGATCAAGTCCCTGGGAGAGATATATCTGTTCTCTCTGCCCATCAAGGAGTCTAAGATCATTGACTTCTTCCTGGGGATGTCTCTCAAGGTTGAAATCTTAAAGATCATGCCTGTGTAGAAGCTGACTCATGCCAGCCAGTAGACAAGGTTCAAAGCCTTTCTTGCCATCAGAAATGACAATGGCTACGATGGCCTGGGAATCAAGTCCTCCAAGGAAGTCACTACCATCACCGATGGGGCCATCATCTTGGCAAAGCTGTCCATTGTCTCTGTGCAGTGAGGCTACAGGGGGTACAAGACTGGCAAGCCCCACCTGGTTCTCTGTAAGGTGACCAGCCACTGTGCTGATGCGCCTCATCTCTGGTTCCAGGGGCAACAAGCATTGTTTGAGCCCCCCCATGCCCAAGAAGCTGATGATGATGGCTAGGATTGGTGACTGCTATACCAGGGCCAGGGGCTGCATGGCCACCCTAGGCAACTTTGCCAAGGCCATCTTTGATGCTATCTCTAAGACGTACAGGTATCTGGCCCCCAACCTCTGGAAAGACACTGTGTTCACCAAGTCTCCCTATCAGGTGTTCAATAACTGTCTTGTGAAGACTCACACCAGAGTCTCTGTGCAAGGGACCCAGGCTCTAGCCATGGCTACCACAGTCAGTTTTATACAAAAAGCAATAAGAAGTCGTTTTAAAAATAAACAAATGAATGAATAACCACTGCTCCATGCCTCCCCTTCATAACTCTGTATCTTGAGGAGGATCTCACATCTATACATAGAATACCTTCTGATTCTTGCCTATAGAGGCACAGTTTTATACAACTTATATAACTAGTCTCATACTGTGATTCATTTAGGTGAGAATTTATGTATTTTAAAGCTCTGTAGATGATTCTAATATGCAATCAAAATTGGGAGCCATTGATCTAGGTTAATCATATATATATATATATATATATATATATATATATA